CATAGTGAGTGGTATAATCTTTGTGATCTCTACTGTACATAGGGAAGCACTGTACTGTCTCCATAGTGAGTGGTCTAATCTGTGTGATCTCTACTGTACATGAGGAGCACTGTACTGTCTCCATAGTGAGCTGTCTGATCTGTGTGATCTCTTCTGCACATGAGGAAGCACTGTACTGTCTACATAGTGAGTGGTCTGATCTGCCCTCTTCTTGCACTACAAGCAATGGAGTCAGAGGTCCCAGATCCTAAAAAAGGATTTCATTGTAGACTCTTCAGTGTCTTTATGCTGAGAGCTGAGGAGCAATGTTTACTCCACAAATTAGTGCCTGCTGCAATCAATTTCTCTCCTATTCCAGAAACGGTCAACATATTGGTGAAAATATTCTGCAGATGAGCAAAACTCCCTTTACGACCTTTCCCAGCTCTAAATCACAACCTCCATCACAGGCTGTGTGCAGCTAGTGCTGCTGTCTGGTGAGCAGGAGCAGCTTCTCTCTTAGAGTTTCTAATGCCTTCTGGATGTGGTTTCCTCACCGAGTCTTGCACAGTAGTACACAGCTGTGTCCTCGGCCTTCAGGCTGGTGATCTGCAGATGTGCTGTGCTGACAGAGGTCTTCAGGGAGAAAACAAATCATCCTTTGAAGCCCTCAGTGTAGGTTGGATTTCCAGTGTTAGTGTTGATCCACCCCATCCACTGCAGGCCACCTCTTGTTTCCTGTCACATCCAGTTAATAGCATAGCTAGTGAAGGTGTATCCAGAAGCTTTGCAGGAGATCTTCATGAACTCTCCAGGCTTCTTCAGCTCAGGCCCATGGGAGTAGGTACCTGTGGAGGAGACACTGGAGAGACTGGAGGGCCAGGCCCATGTGTATGTGTCAGAGGAACCTGGCCTTTTTACTCTGTGGGCCTTGGTGATTTGCATATGGCCCTGCCCTTATCACCTGCTGGGCTAATCTACCCCCTGGACATCCTGACTCCTTAGACCCAGGCACAGATCCCACCCCAGCAGAAGTGCAAATGGCCTCTGTGGTTGGTGGAAGATCCCGGTGTTCTCATGAGTTTCCTCTGTCCTGCCTGATGTCAGATGTATGAACTGAGATGGTGGGACCCAGTCAGCCCAGAACCACCACCCAGGACCGACAGCCCCCCTGGCCCACGGATGGCTTTCCACAAGTCATGAGTGGAGGAGGTGAGAGCAGGAGGGAGACCCGATGATGTCATCTCCTTCTTGAGAAGATCCACCATTTCCTGATGGCCAGGAGTGTCCACTGTAGTTTTAAATGAATCTGGGCTGTCTATGTGAGGACAGCGTCCTGAGGAGCACACTGAGCTTCCTTCAGTTTAACCAGCAGCACTTTAATCCAGGGTGTGTGGTACCTCCTCTTCCTCCTTCCTCTGTGTCACTTGTGTGTGACCCCAGGGCCTCCATGTTGGAATTGACGGCACATGCAATGAGCAGAGGCCGGTCACACGTGCTGGGAAACAGTGAGGGAGAAAGCTGTGTCTCCTTTTCAGAGACCAGAACTCCAAACCTGAGCTTCTCCTGAGCTCCTGGTAAAGGTGCTGTGTCCTCAGAATGAAGTTGACTCAAAAAAGTAGAAAAGAAAGCTGTGGGAATACATCCTATTTTCCTTGACTAATTGATCACAGGAGCTACTTTTTACCAGGCGGTATGTCTGGCCTTGAGCCCTGCTTGGGACTCTGGTTATTAATGTTTACTAGTGAGTAGTGATCACATAACAAGGTTTGTCACAATAACTTCATAAATTCCTACAGTTTGCCTTCATCACAGTTACCTTCCTTTTCCCCATCCTCTATTTTCCCCTATTAATGATTCCATGATTCTATTTGAATTCATGCATATAATGCACTTCTTGTCCATTTATTCTCTGTGGACAGTCCTGGGGCCTGGGTGCTGTCCTTGAGCTTTGGTGCTCACGTCTAGTGCTCTATCCCTTCAGCAGCAGCTTCCTCTCTGGTTTTTGGTGAGTCATCTGAGCTGAGATTCTTGTTGATTCCTTCCCAAGCTGGCTTGGAACTGCGCTGCTCAGATCGCATGTTCCCCTCAGCTGGGGTCACAGGTGAGATCCTCTGGCCCTGGCTCCTATCTGAGCCAGTGTTAACAGGACACACATTTCACTGTCACATGACACACCCAGGTCATCTGAGCATGCACAGCAGGCCTTGCCCAGCTCAGCGTGTCCTGAGTGCCCCTTTCTGGTTCCATTGGCCCTGCAGGTGTCTGAAGCCCACATCCTCCCTAGGTGGACTGCAGAGCTCTGAAGTGTGGAGGACGGGGCTCTGCTGTCTGTCTCAGGTGCACATGTGTCTGTGGAGGTGACTCGGGTGTCACCGTGTCTCCTGTCCAGTGCAGCCCCTCCTCATGAGTCAGTGAAGCTGATACCAGAGGCACTGCTGGTCCTGAAGCAGCTGGAGGCCAGCAGTGAGCAACTGAACCTCAAGGGTTCACAGGCCGATCCTGACTCTGACCACACCTGGACAGCACACAGGGACAAGGAGAACCCCATCTGTCCGCACCTGCAGCCACAATCCCTCTGAGTCCCACAAGTGCACCTGTGCAGCTCCATTGGCACAGAGCACCCAGCAGTGTGACCTCCTGACCACAGCTTGTCTATCCGTGAGTCCTCAGCCCGCGATGACGGGACTGTGAGTTCCATGTGGCAGACGGAAGTTTATCCTAGGGTTGGAAGACACAGTCACAGGCCAGTGTGACCTTGAGATCAGAGGACAGCACAGCCAGTCCCTCTTCCACAAGGACTGCTGGGACCCGCGTCTCCTCAAAGCACACAGGGCACAATTCTGGGCTGGGGCAGTGTTCCACCCACAAGCCTTCCATGGGGCATTCCTTAGATCACAATGCCCCAGCCTCAAGACATCATCTTTCCAAATACATTCTTAAGAAATCTATTTCAATGCAGGAGATTGTTCTCTTTTGTAACATAAAATAGAAAAAACTGTTTATCCTTTGACTCCAGTAAGTCAAGACTTTATTTTCAGGAAATATAGTAGTTTACACTCTTGGGCAGGTCACTTCACAGATAAAGGTTTGTTTGGTTCGCTGGGCAGAAGGGAGAGGAAAGGTGTTCATCTTGAAGGTCTTCTCTGCTTCACAGCTGAGGAAAGTCAAATACTTGGAATCTCTCTGCAGGTCTCTGCAGGTGCTGTGGGCTGCCCAGCACTGCCAGGCCATTTGGAGCTTCTCCTCTGGGAAATGTAACTCAGTTCTCTCAGGCATGTTGAGAGGCCCTTACCTTGTATTGGAGAGCTCTGTTCAATTCATGACTCTGAGTTCAAGGTTCTCATCATTTCTCTTCTTTAGGAAATGGAAGAAAGACATTAGGCTACTTTGACTTGTGGTCTTTGAAAATGTGTATTTAATGCAAGCAGAAATTGCACCACTTGTCCAGTATAGAACTGACGCAGAGGATGCAAAGTTTACCAGAATATATTCTAAGAATGATGGCATTCTAACTATTGGACATCATTCTTATTTTTCCTAAGGAAGAATTCCACCTGGTCCCACACTGTTCCAGTCACTGTGGACACTTGGGAGTTCACATGACAGGAAATCATGGAGGTTCTCAAGTGCAGCAAGTTTCCATGACCATCATTTTCACCCATTTTCCTAACCCAGCAGAGCACAACACCATGACGGGACTGTGAGATGACGGTGCATGGCTGTTGGTCTATTCATAACCTGGATAACTCACAGGACTGTGTGTGGTCTTGGTACACCCATGTAACTCCATTTACTGCAATTCATTTATGACCCCAGATAAGGTCACCGGGACTGTAGAAGGACACGGTACATGCATGTAGGTCCATGTACTCTATTCTACAGCACACTGTAGGTTCTGGGGAAGTCTGTGCATGGGTAGGCCTGGGAACCTGCGTAATTCTCTGATCTAGCCTCTGCATTTTGTCATGAACACCACCTGGTCTGTACATTCTGCTAAATAAAAATGGCACCGATTTTGTGGGTATTTCACAAGAATTAGTCTTAATATGTGATCAATGTTCCATATTGTAGCAGAATAGGTTCTCTACAAGCAGAAATATTACAATGAGGATGAACCTCAATTTAAACAAATATGGTTTGTGAATTATTGTGGTTTGATATTTGCATGGGGGTTTTTCCTTTTATGTGATTATAAGGAAGAAAAATGGTCCTGTGTGAAGTAAATGCGCAAGGGAAGAGAACACGTCCCATGTGAAGTGAACACGTAATAGGAGGTAAAGAGGTCCTGGGTGAATATTCCCTGTGGAGTATGTATTTAATGAGCCCATACTACCTTGTCTGGTTAGTTAGGTTCACAGGACCTGAATGAGAGGAAACAGACTTTCAGGTTCTAGATGTATTCCCAGGTGATGGACAGTGCAGGGAATATGAAAACTCCCCTCATATTCCATGATAAGGGGGTCGATAAATCTCTGCATTTGTGTACATAACTGTGCATTGCAGATTTGCATATGAAACATGTACATATAGACAGAAACTACATAAAAGCAAATTAGATTTGTATATGTATATAAATGTGTGAAGTTATGGAGTACACATTAGAGCAACATATATACACATATGAAACATACATGCAATACATTTATACTACACACATCTACATGTGTGCATATCTACACAGCTTTGTATATCTATGTATATCTGGAAAAAAATGATCATCTTGATGCAGAAAAATCCCTTGACAAATTAGAGCATCCTTTTATGCTAAAAGCTCTGTAGATAGGGGATCAGTTGACTGGAAAACCTGTTCACATGACTATTAGCTGGGAGTGTTTGCCCTGGCTTTATTCACTGGGAACCCCTTGCTGTCTGTGTTTTCTGAGAATGGGACGGGTAGAACCTTTCCCACACTCAGCATGGGCTCGGTTCTGCAGCCCTTTGCTCAGAATCATCTCTGTATTCTAAGCAGCGCTGAGGGAATCAGCCTTCTCCTCACAGCCCGAGGCAGCTGCCTTGCCTCAGGTTTCTGACACACTCAGGATGTGGGTGTGCACACTATGCCTCACACAGTAGTACCCGGCCGAGTCCTCAGCTGTCAGCCTGCTCAGCTCCATGGAGGCTGTGCTGGAGGAGGTGTTTGCAGTCAGGGAGACCTTGCCCTTGAACTTCTGAGTGTACGTGGTCTCACCATCAGTAGGCTCAACCCATCCAATCCAGTCAAGCCCCTGTCCTGCCTTCTGCCTCACCCAGTGCATAAAATAGCTGGTGAAGGTGTATCCAGAGGCCCTGCAGGCCAGCCTGGCCGAGTCTTCAGACATCCTCACTTCAGCCCCAGGCTGCTCCAGCTTGATCTGGGAGTGGACACCTGCAGAGGAGAGGGAGGTGTGACCTCTCTGGTGAGGGTCTGGTCCCTTGGGGCTGGTCCTGGGCAGTGCTCACCTGCAGCTGCGGCCACCCAGAAGAAGAAGCTCCAGTTCAGGTGCATCTTGTGCTCTGATATCTGGGTGTCACAGGAGAGGTGACGCAGGTTGCTCTGGGAAGGAGTTGTCTATGTTGTCCACTGCAGATGCTGCTTGTTTGTATATTCATGAAGCAGGTGCTTGTTAGCTCAAGACCTGACCCGTGTGAGAGAGAAGGGGAGGGAGGCGGACCTCTGATGTGTGGGGCTATGTGTGACCTTACTGAACTCGGAGCCCAGGTGAACCGTTGGTGGATGGACTCAGGGTCTGCACAGCCTCCCTCAGGAACCTGTGCTGTCAATATGGTCGCATCTCATTCCCGTTTTCACGAACAGAACTCTGCAGTGCTCACAGACGGTCAGTGCTGGTCACAGGTGCTCGAGTTCCTGTTGTTCCTGGTTGACCTGCTCACTAAGCTGACCGCTCTCTGAGGAGTCCCGTGGGTACCATGCAGGATTGGGCGTCCCTGGTCCTTGTGTTAGTTGGGGCTCCATCCAGGCTGCTCATGGAGGGCTCCCCTTGGGGAAGGAGGCTGGGCCTCACCTGTGCAGGGGCTCCATTGCAGGACTGCCTCATGTTCAGTTCCACACTCCACCACAGAACAATTGAGGAAATCAGCTTGTGTCCAGGACACAGGTCAGGACCCTGTCCGGAGTCCCATGAGTGAGGCTGAGAGTGTCCTGTCCACCGGGGTGTCCAGTGTCTGAATAGAGCCTGGGCACGGCAGCAAGGCCAACAGCCTCCACTCAGAGTAGACTCTTTCTGTACAGCCCCAGAGCCCCTCAGGAAGGAGAATGAATTCACCTTTGAAGGACCACAGAGGGTATGGAGACTGCCCCTTCCAGCCCGTGATGGAAGTGTGTGTGTGTGTGTGTGTGTACACTGTGAATATATATATGTGTGTACACTGTGAATATATATATGTGTGTACACTGTGAATACATATGTGTGTGTGTGTGTGTGTATGTGTGTGTATCCTTCCCCTTCTATCTCAGTGGTGTCATTTGAGTTAGAATTATCTAGATCCCACAGAATACAGAGTTCATGTTTATATCTAGACACAATTGTTTATGAATATACAATGAGATTAATACGTGCACATGGATGTGCATGTCTACATATGTGCTCGCGTGTGCACACACACTAGGGACATGCATTTGTGAATACTCTAATGTGTATAAATACATACATATCCTGACGTAGACAGGGCTGAGCGCACCGGCTTTAATGAAGCATGCGCAGACGGGTCCCACTGGTGCTGAGTGGAAGGACGCAGGAGGCCTGGCGGCGCGCGTTCCCCGCACGCACACATTGCCAATCCCGTACTCCTGTGGGAGACGCCATGGGGACCGCGCCTGCGCCTTGCACGTGGAGCGGCCCTTGCTGAGCAGAACAAAGCTGCAGCGAACCTAGGAGAGAGAAGTGTCCTGAGGGGCGCATGCGCCTGGTCAGCAGAGCTCGCGGGACGCGGTGCAGGGTGGGCGGGAGGGGAGCGTGCTGCGAGCAGGCGCACACCGCCCCACACCACGTGACCGGGTCCGGAGCCGCCTGGCCCTGCGGGAGGCGGACAGACGCCCGCCGCTGGCTCAGAGCCGCGCCTGCACGGCCATGGTCTGCACCCCGCGACCCCAGGTGCGGATCTGCACGGACAGATGGACAGCGCGCTCGCCGCCATCGCCCGTCCGCCGTCCTTCCCGTACACGGCCGCGTCCTGTGACCGAGCAGGAGGACGCGGCGGCCGTGCTCGCTGCCCGGGGCCGCCACCGCCTCCAGACGACGAGCCACGGGGACCGCGGGAAGACGCGCCCAGGCGAGGGGAGCCCACGGCGCACGCGCAGCCCAGTGCGGCTGCGCACTCGGGAAGGAGGGAGCGCGGGTGATGACGTCAGCCGGGACCTGCTGCTCGCGCACCGGGCCCACCCGGGTCTGTGAGCCTGCCTGGGCGGGAGGACGGAGGCCGGTCCTGTCAGCGCGGACTCCGGAGTCTGCGGTCACCGCTCCCACAGCCGGGCCCAGTCTGTGCTCAGCAGGAAGCCCGGAGTCTCTGTGCTGACCCTGCGGGAGAGCACGCCCCCGGAGCCCTGAGCGCTCCAGACCCGCCTGGCCTGTGCGGAGCCAGCTCTGCCTGAGCCGGAGCCTGGGCCTCGCTGCGCTGTCAGGCCCTGCCTGCGTTCAGATGGAAGGAGCCCAGCCTCTGCGTCCGAGCAGCAGCGCAGGGGAGACACCAGCTGGGGTCCTGGAGCCCTGGGAGGGTGGAGGCCAGACCCCAGGGCCACCTCCTCACCACACCTGCAGCTGACGCGGCTCAGCGCCTGCTGGCCCAGGCCGCTGCACCTGTGTGTCTGGGCCCCACTGGCTCCTCTCACTGTGCCCTGCACAGTGACACAGGGCCGTGTCCTCAGTTCTCAGGCTGCGCATTTGCAGGTACAGCGTACTTTGACTGTTGTCTCTGGGGAGGGTGAACCGGCCTTCACAGAGTCTGCGTACCTTGTGCTACCACGCCCTGGATCAATTCGTGCAACCCACTCCAGCCCTGCTTCCCTGGATCTTGGTGGATTCAGCTCATCCAGTAAGTACTGAAGGTGAATCCGGAGGCTGCACAGGAGAGTCTCAGGGACCCCCCAGGCTGCACCAAGCCTCCCCCAGACTCCACCAGCTGCACCTCACACTGCACACCTGCAAACACAGAGAATCCTGGTCAGCCATGGTCACACACATCCACGGTTCCTCCCACTCATGTCCATTTGCACACTCAGTATTCCTTGCTCCCCATACATCACCTTTCAACAGAGCAACAAGGAGAACCCAGCGCAGCCCCAGCTTCATGGTGGTGGGCTGTGCTCAATCACAAGTGGAATCAGCACACAGAGCTCAGGTCAGGGCTGGGCTGGTTTTCATGGGCAGAGGGACGTCCTATTTGCATGTCCTCTGCTATAAAGCAGCTCTGGGGGGAAGTCTAGAGATTGGGCTCCCAGAGCAGAGGTGACTGTGCTGGAGAAATTTGGTGACAATGGTCACCTTGGAGTCATCATGATGCACTGACCACGCACTCTGGTTCACACTGCACCTGCAGCTCCTTGGGAGCCTGAGGCAGAGTGTGAGAACACTGAGATCTGTCTGGGGTGCAGAGGGATACACATGTCCTCTCACTCTGCCATTGTGCCTGGTGATCGTTCTGTCAGCATTTCTGATCACACACAAAATACAAAGTGCAACACACGTGTGACCTCCTTGTGCACAATGTCACACGCAAGGAGCATAAAACAATGGTGAATTGTTTCCACACTGGCAGTGTCTCATGTGGTATGAGCTCCATGCCTGGTCTCGACCTGCACAGCCAAGGAGGACCCACAGTTCCTGGTGTGTTCCAGGAGAATGGTGCTTTTCTGTGAGCTCTGCAGAACCTCCTTCCTGACCTGAGATTAGGTGTGGCTTTGCTGCATTTTACTTCATTCTGACCACCAACCAGGAAGGCCATAGTCCAGGTAGAGGCTTGCTAGTGGTCTCTGGTATCATTTGTTATAATCTATTTTTCTCATTCGTATGTATTGTGTATTTGCAACCAAATCATGTGTATTGTGTACTTGTAATAACCTCAGTGAGTCACACACAGAACAAAACATAGGTAAATGAGTATTTGGTAAGTATTAACAAATGACTTGTGTCTTCTTCAAATTGTTTTATAAACCTTTTGACAGTTTCCTTGCATCTGTCTTTCAATTTATTGGTTACAGTGATTCCTAGTGCTGGACAAGATGGTGAGCTGAATGTGAACAACACGTTTGTCCATGAACAAGAATCCACTGACACAAAGCTGAGCAGATTCTGAGGAAGAGAGGAAAGGAGAAGCGACAGGGAGTTCCTGGGGACCCAGGACATGGCAGAGAAGCAGTCAGGGTGGAGAAACTGTGGCACTGAGCTCTGACCTGTGTGCAGCTTTCCTGCTGGGGAAGAGAGCTGAGCAGTCAGCATGAACCGTCAGGTGTGCTCACAGAGGGACTGGCAGCTCCGCTGTGGGACACACGGCTGAGGACCCGTTAACTAGCAAAAACCCTGAAATGAAGGAAATGAAAAGAAATCACCAACCCTTGTATAGGAGGCGTGGCTGAGTTGTTAGGCTGTTAGTCAATGAGAGAACACATCAAGTTCTGACTTTGAGTCCTAGTCATGGATCCAAAAGAGAAAAGGAAATTGAGGCCTGACTCAAATGGCAGAGAACCAGCCTTGAGTTAGAAAGCAGAGGGAGAGTGCAAGGTCTCTGTTTGTGCAAAAGTGCACAATAAAAATGCGTATAAAACATGAGAGATACCAAGTGTTGGGGGCCAAGCTGGGTCATGTAAAGCAGGCAGGCTGACAGTGAGAATGTAAATAAGAACGTGACTGGAAGTTATACCAGGGTCCATGAACATACAAACACTAGAAATGCCATAGATTCCATACTCCAGTAATGTCCAGTGGCACATTTGTTTCTTATCTTCAGTTGCTGTGGCATTATTTACTTCAGCAAGCCAGGAGATTAACCTAGGTGTTCATGAGAGAAGGAATTGAGAAAGGAAATGTGGTGTCTTTGCAAAACAGGAGATTGTTCATCTATGAGAAGGAGGAAGTCCTGGCATTTGTGACAACATAGATGACTCTGGGGCGTTCACGTGAAGTGTGGTAATGCAGGCACAGAAAGACAAATTAGGGCTTTTGACACCTGTGTGGTCTGTATTTGTGAAAACGTGTAAGTCAGCAGACCGCAAGCTTCCTCACTGTCAAAGAATGGAACCTGTGCGCGGTGTATGATCCTTAGCTCTGCGTTGACAACGGTTCCACAGCATTTGTGTGCATTGTCACGTTGCACTCTTAAGTGTGGCTGTGCATTGTTTTAATGGTCCATGTTACGTCAAGGAAATAGAAATAATTACAAAACTTTCTGACCTTGAGAACTTTTAGCAAAGTGCTGAGGACACCAAACGTCACCATCTCAGCAGGAGCAGTGGCACTGTTGCCTTCCCTCACTCCTTCCCAGAACCCGACACTCACAGGGGCTCGGTCATCTGGAGCATGTGGGCTGAGCCCTCTCCTGAGCAGGGCCTAGACACCAGCAGTCCCTCCACAAGGTGAGCCTTAACTTTCCCAATGCTCTTCCTGATCTGTTATTTGAGCTGACACTAAACAGAGTGGGCAGCCTGTCAGGTTTAGTGCATGTATCTGTTGTATACTGTTTAGATCCTGTTAAACACAGTTATGTCCTCAAGCATTTTTCAATTCTTAATGGTGTTTTGTCTGGGTTCTGGAATGTTCAATCCAGAGTGGTCATTTATGTCCACACATGTTGCAATATGCAGTGCCTGGGGACAGGACAGTAAGGGACACAGGTCTGGAATCAGGTTTGGGGTGCCTGGGGCCTGAAGCCTTCCACCAGCTTCAGGTGCCCTGGGGCCATTTTACAAGGTATTTATTGAGTAGGGTGCAGGGCGTACCTCAAAGTGTGAGGTCACAATGTCCTTAAAGTCACAAGCACCAACCAAGTGGTATAATCACACTCCAGTGATGATGACCTCTTTATCCTAAGAGGACAATGTAAGCAGTAATTGAGTCTTCTCTAGCCCAAGCTTCCAGAAAGCCTGGTGTGAAATTAGCCGACACCAGCACAGAAATCTGCATTCCCATCAAGTCAGGGCCTGAGTGACCTTTTCAGGAAAGTCTCAGTGCTCTGAGGGTTCATGTGGGAGGTGGCAATGCATCCTCCCTATCCTTTTGGGTCTCAGAGCTTGAGTTTTGAGAGCTCTCAAGACATAGCAATGGCATTATATGCCCTTAATATTGAAATTCCATTTCTGTGTGCAATACTTCAGTTGCAGATACACATGGGAAAGACCCACGCAATGCAATCTTCATGTCAGCCGATATGGCAGAAGGATGACACTGATAATGCCTGGAAGCCTGGAACTGTCAAAGTACGGGGTGGTGGGTTTGCTGATGCAGCCAAAGGCTCAGTGGACGTCTGCCTACCACCCAGAAATTAAAACCCAGAAATGAACAGACAATCACCCAACATCCAGGAGTCTGTGGAGAGATCTTCAGGAGGATAGGAAATCTATGGGCTCAGGGAGAACAGGGAGAACCAGATTGCCACCCATTCACCCTGGGGCAAATGAAATTTTCTCAAGAATTTGGAGAAGCTTATAGGAGAATGGAGAGGAAATCAACAGGAAGTATCTGTACCAATGGTGGTGGTATTCACACTGCTAGTGTCTGTGTGGGGACTCCTATGCTGGGTAAACTGTTATTTGTTAATGTGTTCTGATATGTAACAACTCAGCGTTGAGCTGGAGGAAGGCTTTGCAATCCTGGAAGCCAAAATCTGAGTTCCACAGCTTGGTGTCTTTACTGTGGTGTCTGTGTTCACCACAGCTACGGCACACACGGGCACCAGGACCCCAGGCCAGCAGAGCACTGCCCCCATCCAGGTACACAGCAGGTACCTGGAGGGTGCTGTCTCCTGGTGAGGAGAGGGGTTTGTGTACTGTCCAAATGATTCCACAGGATGAAACCTTCACATGTGGAAGACCCCTTTCCTAAGCCCATGGAGTTCAGACAAAAATTCTTCCTCAAGAAATGA